TACACTCTTGGTCCCCACTGAATTTGATTCCAGGCAAATAAGTTGGTGGGGAGACGGAGTGTCCAGTTAACTCTGTGAACAGCAAAACCATTGCTTCCTCCCTGTACCAGGGCGCCCACTGAGTATAGTAGAAAGAGTCATCTCCATAGCATAAAGCGAGTGGAGACTGTAGTGGCCTGTGTCACCCTGGTGGTTTTTGTCAGTGGCAGAAATCCACAGCTCCCAACGACTTTGAGCCTTTTTGGAAGAGCACTGATGGAGAGCACATTGTCTTCCTCCCCTCTAGCCCAACTCGGGGATGGGGCTACTCTCTCTTTAGACAAGGAGGCTCACCGGGCAGTGTAGAGGCCCTGCAGTCCGGTATGATGACAGCCCTGGGACTGTGCTATAAGCTAAGGGGATCCCATGATCACACTGCAGAGTATGTAAGTTTCTTCGTGTAGTTCATGCATCTGAGTGGAGGATACAGGCACAGGGAGGGTCACTCTTGTTCAGAGAAAGTTGGAAGTAGTGACCACATCAACCAAGGTGACCATCCCTCTCCCATACTGACTACAGAAGAGAACAACCTCACATATTTCAGGTGTTACACACACTGACTCCAGCTCCCTGGTCTGCCCAGCACACAATGTATGGTCATCCTCTGAAGGAGCAGGTATCCCACTCTGTCTAGAGGCACATCTCCAAGATCAAAGATATCAGAGGTAATATCAATAAATGCTTCTCCAGTTGCATAAAAAAAATCACAAAAATACAATAAATATGAACAAGAAAGACAATGCGACTTCCCAAAAGGAATACAACCATACTTCAATATTAGACTGCAAAGAAAAGCCTGTTGATGAAATCCCTGAAAAGGAATTCAAAGGGTCGGTTGTAAGAGTACTCAAAACACAGAGAAGCAGTTGCATGACTACAAGAAACTTATGAATAATATGGATGAGAAATTCTGTCAGGAAGTAGAAATAGTAAAGGTCAAATCATTATAATATTAGAAATGAAGCACTCAATATTTCAAATAAAAATACAGTGTGACACCTAAACAACAAACTTAGTGAAAGCAAAGAAAGATTATCTGAGCTGCATCAAAAAGACACAATTAGAACATAGTGCCAATACCCTCACTACAAAACCTTAAGCCTATGATATTTCTGACCTGGTAAGCAAGGGCCTTCTACGCCGTGCTAACTCTCCCCACAACACTGCTATCCTAGCTGTAAAAAAAAAAAAAAAAAGCCTAATGGAACTTACAGACTAGTTCAGATTCTTCAGATTATGAATTCAACTATTTTTCCCTTACATCCTGCTGTCCCCAACCCGTATAAGATCCTACTGACCACTCCCATGGCTGCAATTTTGTTTTTTGTTTCTGAAAGTATAGAAGCTATGTTGAACTGCCCACTTCACAGGACTTTTAGAATTTGTGATGTATGTTGGAAAAGAGGAATGGATTTTTTTCTGAATGGCTATTAATTATGGTCACTAATTAATGAAAGACTAATAAGTCTATGTAAAGTATGTGATTTTCAAAGGTTGTTAATAATACAAATGAAGTAAACAAGTCCTAGAGAAATGGAAAATTTTCAAAAACTAAATAAATACATTTATGGAAAAATGTTCGACATCACCAGTTATCAGGGAAATACAAATCAAAACCAAAGTGTGCTATCTCAGCCCATTAAGAATGGCTATTATCAAAAAAGTAAAAAGAAATAAATGTTGAGAAGGGTATAATGAAAAGAGAATTCCTGCACACTGTTGGTAGGAATGCAGCTTGCCCCAGCTGTTACAGCAAACAGTGTGAACCTTTCTCAGGAAAGAAAATAGCTAAAAATGTATCTACCATTGGACCCAGCTGTTCCACTTCCAGATTTACACCCAAAGAAAATGAAATCAGATTATCAATGACATACCTGCACTTGGCATGTTTAATGCTGAACTCTGCACAACAGTCAGAACAAGGAATCAGTAGAAGTATGGTTCCGCCAATGTGGCATATATACACAATGAGTTATTGTTCAGCCATTTAAAAATTAAATCCTATCACTTGAAGTAAAATGGGTATGACTGGAGAACATCATACTAAGTCAACACTGAATAAACAACTACTTCATATTCTCACTCATATGTGGAAGCTGCAAAGATTTACCTGAAAGAACAAATAGGAATTGCTGGTGGCCAACAAGGATAATGGGGACAGAAATAGAGGGAAATTCAAATATTGGTTTCCAAATTAATTTTTAAAAATAATTGAAATCCATCACACAAGAAATTGTCAGAGTTTGGTGCAATGGCTTAGTGGCTAAATCCTTGCCTTGCACATGCCAAGCTCCCAGATGTGTGCCAGTTCCCTTCCAGCTCTCTGCTTGTGGCCTAGGAAAGCAGTCAAGGATGGCCCAAAACCTTGGGATCCTACCCCCCCCCCCCGCGTGGGAAACCTGGAAGAAGATCCTGGCTCCTGGCTTCGGACTGGCTCAGCTCCAGCCATTGTGACCACCTGGGGCATAAACCAATGGATGGAAGATCTTTCTCTGTCTCTCCTTCTCTGTAAATCTGCCTTTCCAATAAAAAAAATATTTTACAAAAAATTAGAAATTACCAGAGTTGGTAGAAATGTGTGTTATGAAAAACCTACAGGTGGATTTCCAAAGTTTTTTGCACCAAAATAAACTTACCGTTTAACTCCATTTTTCCACAAATTTTCTGAAGTATGCACTTATAATAAGATAGCACGGATAAGCTCTGGTATTCTATAACATGGTAGTTAACCATAGCTCACAACAACAGGCTTTTATTCATTTTACAAAAAAACTAAAGAGAGTTTAAAGACCACCAAAATAAAGAAATAATGATAGATAAATTCAATTACTCTAACACAATCATTAAACATGTATAACATATGAATTATCTCAGTATGTCACAAATATATGCAATCTTACGTATGAACAAAAATATTTTAATTGACATAGCACCATGTTTTTAATGAATAAATATATAATTGATTAAAATAGACTGCATTAAATCCATAATTTCAAAATGATACTTGGGGGGAAAAAGAGAACAAAACTAAATAAACTAAGTAGATACCACTGGAGGTTGCTAAGGCAATAATTCCCAACTATAAAACTGATCATTAAAGAAAAATATCTGATTTTGTGTCTGGCATGAACTGTTTCGCATTAACAAAATTAGATGAGAGGAAGTTCTTCAATACAGAATGGCTCATTTACAAACACAGATGGAATGATACAAAGTCCACTATAAATGCTAATGAAACAAGGAATCAAAGGATAGGCCCTGGTGGCTACCAAAACCACCAGCAGAAAGATGACAGGAAGCTTGACAACAAGCAAGCGGGGCAGTCACTACCTCCACTCACTGAGCATCTCCTGAAACCCTGAAGGTGGATGTGACATTCACCTGCACATCTGGGATGTGTGTGAGCCCCAAAACCAAACCTGCAGGGGATAAGGTGATAAATTAATACCGTGAGGACCCCCTCAGCCCAACCTAGGCTGCATGATAGCCATTCCACAGAGCAGAAGAGCTTTCAACAAGCTGATGGTGCAGGAAAGAAGTAATCTTGTCTCAGATTGCCATCCTTGGCAGGGCCTGTCCCAGGACTGGTTGACTTCTGAGTACTTACCTTTTAGAATGTTCCAGAATGTGACAATTTATAAGGTTGCTTTACAGCGCTGAGCCAGTGCACTTTGCTGTGCTAGCATGCCTAAACATTAAAATGTAATTTATGGAAAATATCGACTTTCCTTCTGAGAGGCTGGGATTCTGTAGGCTGAGGATGCCTTTCTGACAAGCCGCAACCCAATCTTTGAGTCTCAAGCAGGAATGCCTGAGAGAAACCCTGCACAGATCTCACCCCCTGTGCTGCTGGAAGCAGGAAGGGATGTCCTGTGCAAGCCTCCTGAGAAAAGAGACCTTTCAGAAGCCTGCTCCTGGAGCCCTGCTGGCTCAACTCCACAGCCCCAGTGCACAGCCCAGAGGGCAGCTGTCTGTGGGCCGGTGTTCTTGTGGTGAATTGCAGAGAATGTGGGCAGTCATGGAAGCCCCCCGAAACAGTGAGACTGTTGACTACAAAGGAAATTAGATCGTGGATATAGAGAATAAATCTGTTCTAGAACAAAAGAGATACAGCAATATAACAACCGAAGCTTGGAGTGAACCCAATTACCACTGGCTCCCTGATTTAATGGAAACCACCTTTCTCAGCAAGTGAACTTGACCACCACAGCCCAAGTCAGGGAAATTTCCTGGCCATTCCTCCTACCACAGTATTTCTTTATGCCTCAGCTCCATCTCTCAAAGACATACTTCTTCAGGGTCAAACCATCTACTAACCTACCATGCTCCAAGGACTGAGCCCACATTCCCAACAACATGCAACAGTAAAGTTTAGTTTCAGTGTTAAGTCAATAGTAGTTCTCCCTTGCCCAGGAAGTAACTGCCCTTTGCTCCGTGCTATGAACAAGATATACCCATACTTAAAGTTTACCATCAACTTAACAGGCATCCTTGGAAATGCCCTTAAGCCAGCTGGTAAATGCACAGTCAATGCTTTCCCACAGGTGGCCTGAGGGATTCTGTTTCCCATTCACCCCCAGAAGCAGGAAGGGACTAGATGAACAGGCTCATCACACAGAAGAAGATCTAGAGACTCAAGGAGTTCACAACTTGTCTCCTCATGACCACTCCTACAGATCACACTTGGGGGTAAGTACAACACAACAGAGAGAGCCAGGCACACTCCATTTTCTCAGGGTCTTTGTTTGTTGGTCTGCCCACAACTCATCACTGTATATGCCAATAACCAAGATTCGGTAAACATTCCTGTGTACCTCCATTGGCAACCCACAATGAGGGGCCGGCTAACTTTCAGAAATTATATTATTCTCATTTAATTAAGTGGTGGACTGGGCCCAGTCAGAGCATCTAACAAGTTAAAATACTACTACAGGTACAATGGCATCAAGTACGGAAGTTACCTCAAATATAATCAGCCCATAGACACCTGCAAGGATGGCTGCAGCGACAGTCACTTGTGCTTCAATGCTTGCACGGAGGTACTGATGTGCCAGCAGAAGAGGAACCACCTGGGTCTGCTGCAGGGCAGCCCGAATGCTGATGGAAACAGTCTCCCTGCAGAATGAAGCAAAGACCTTACAGCTGGCAAAGGAAACAATCTTGGGTCGACAATTAGTGGCATTCGCCCATGTCCTTTCTAGCACCAGTCATCCATAGCCATAACCAGAGCCCACGTGGATCCATGATTCAACCCAATGCCTGATGTCACAGACAAAACATGCAATTAGACACAAGACACAGCCTCTCTGTGTCCAAGCCTGGCCCTTGACGGTGCCATTCCAGTCATTAACGAGAACAGAGGTAGCACAGCTGAGTTTAGCACTTAATCTCCTAGCTTCCTCATCACCTACAAACCAGATTACTTTACCTGCAATGCCAACTATTTAAACTTCAGTCTCTGATATCGGAGAAAAGCATCACAAGCAAGGAGCCTGAAAATCATGAAGAGTTTGAGGCATGCTGAAACAGATGCTCTTTTTTGAAAGGTCGATTGGTAACTGTAAAAGTTACTATCGCGTGTGTGGAGGAGTGACCATTCCTCAGCCCTACCACACACACACAGAATGACTTCCACTCAATCCAATGGTACTGGCACTTTTACAGGTGACTGAGTCAAAGTCCCATTCACGTGAAGGATCAGAGGAGGTCATCACTTATAAGTCAAGGACAGAAGCCTCCGAAGAAACCAACACTGCCAATGCTTTCATCTTGGGCTCCCAGCTTTTCAAATTGTGACAAAATGTACGCCTGACATTCAAGCCACCCTGGCTAAGGGCCTCTGTTATGATAGTGGACTAAGACATGAGAACCGACTGAATATGAAATGTTGTTTTACAAAGAGAGAGATGAGGACCAGTGTTGTGATGCAGTTAAGCAACTACCTGTGATACTGGCATCGCATATGGGTGCCAATTCGCATTTCCACTGCTACACTCTTGATCCAGCTCCCTGCTTGTGTACTTGGGAAAGCATCTCTTTCTATCTCCAGCTTTCCCTCTTTCTATAACTCAACCTTTCAAATAAGCAATTCTTTTAAAAGTATAGAAAGAGAACAGGAATCCTCTATTGTTTCATATGGCATCATGGTATTAAGAAAATCAGAATATCAACTAAAATGCATCAATGGCTTCAAGCTGGATCTTAAAACCAACCCTGATCTGCCTTGGCACATTTGGCTGTAATGCCCTGCCACAGTCGTTGAGTCCACTGTCAACACAGCATGTGTGCTTTGACCAAGCAACAAAACCAACCTGGGACTATTTGTGACAGACTTGGAATCCTATAAATCAAGTTTTCAGGTGACTGCAACTTTTGGAGATGTTGAAAGTGTCTCACAAATTTGCTGTCAATCATATGTTCACAGTATTTGGAGGTAAAACCTTGGGGTGGCACTTAGAATTAAATGGAGCCACAAGCGCCCAAGTGAGGCCCATGTTGGCATTAGAGGCTTTGTGAGAAGAGAAGGGAAACCCAACCTAGTAAGTTTGCTCTCTTTCACCACACAATGCCCTCTGCCACACGATGACAGTGAGATGGGCTTAACTAGATGCCAAGCAGATATCATCACCATGCGCTAGGATGTCTCAACCTCCAGAACAGTATCCAAAATAAATCCCAATTCCTTATAAATCACTCAGACTTGGGTATTGTGTTACAGAAACATAAAGCATAGCAGAACAGTGAGTCCTATCCAACAAATTCGTCCCAGATCTAATTCAGCTAAGAACCTACCTGCTCAAAATCTCAAAGGTCCTGCTCACCGTGGAGTGCTCACTTCCTGGATTTAAAAATATCGTCCAGTTGTGAATTATCTGCAAAAGTTAGAGCATAACATCATGGTCAGGCTTTTCACGTGAAAGTCGTCTGAGATCCAGTGCCACTCAGTTTTGGTATTTAGTAGAAGATAAAATGACAAAGAGATGAACAATGATACATTTTTTTGTGAGTTCCCACACCTCTGAGATTGGGAGCTAATACAGGTTGTGTGGAACTGGAAATTTCCACAGGGCTTTGTTTCAGTGGGCAAAGTAATAGAAAAATATGGATACAGAATTAGGGTACACAGTCATGAGAACAAAAACATAAATACAGTTGCCTCTCAGAGTCTGCTGAGACTGATTCCAGACACCCCACAGGAAGATATCAAAATCTAAAGACATTCAAGTTCCTTATACTGATATAAAATAGTATAGTGCAGAATGGTCTTTAGCCTAGTGGTTAAAATGCCTGCAGCCCACATTAGGGTACCTGGGTTCAGTTCCTAGCTTCAGCTGATGATTCTAGCTTCCTGCTATCACAGGCCCTTGGGCGCAATGGTAATAACTCAGGTAACTGGGTTCCTGTCATCCACATGGAAGACCTGGATTGTGATCCTGGCTCAGGACTCTGGCATTAGCCCATGTGCAGCTTCCGCAGGGATTTAAGAAGTGAGCTAGCTCATTCTTTTTCTCTCTCCTAAATATAAAAAATAATGTTTAACTGGTATGATATTTGCATACAGCCTACATATATACCTACCCATACATTTTGAATTATTTATAAATTAAATGCAAATGCTATATAAAGTTATATCACATTAATCATAAGCAAAAATGCCTATCTGTGTGCATTAAAGATGCCATTGTTTCTAACATTTTCTGTGTGTGGCTGAATTTGTGAATGCAAAATCCGTGGATATCAAAGTCTTGTGAACTTAGAATAGCCTTTTGAGCCCACTAAGGCAACTTTCAAGAAATACTTCTATAGAGTAGCTTCCTACTTGCAAGCTATGGGCAACAAATCCATTCCCAGAAAACTCTCCACAACCTGTGTCTCAGAAGCTTCTGCAAGGGAGAGCCCCAAAGATGAGGCTTCCTTTTCCCCACGTGGTCTTGTCCCCAAGCTGGGGTAATGGAGAACCACCAAGTGTGTGTGACTCAAGAGCGTAGAGCAGGAGTGGGAGAGGAGACTTGCGCAGAGGGCAAGTTTGGCAAACAGTGGAAGGACCTTTCAGTGACAGAGTACAATTCTTGTCCACAAATCACAAAGGCAATTGGAAATAAGGACTCTGAAATTGGCTAAAGCAGATGAGTGCGTGCATGGGAGAACAACTCTCTTAAAATGCTTCATTGTTTAGGTAAAGAGCCTATTCAAAAAATCATTTAGTAAAGTCTCTTGTGTTCTTTGTGTTTCTGGAGATGAATTTGTACATGGGCACTTTAGGTGAGTCAACATGTTATAAAGGGTCTTCCCACGAGAACAGGGAAACTCAATCTAGCTCTTTGATTTTGAGTTATAAATATGCATGTGCTGAAAAGGCAACTAGACATGAAGAATTAGCTCTCAACTGTTCTACAGCATAATAAGGTGACTACAATCAACTATTTGATATATTTCAAACTAACTAGAAAAATCAAAAGGTTCTCAACATATAGGAATGATGAGTGTTAAGCAAAATGAAAATGCTAACCATCTTAATTTGATGATTATATGTGTCTAATTATATTGTACCAAATATGGAGCATTATTGTGTATCAATTTAAAATGTCTTTAATTATAAAAACAAAGATAAAAGACTGGGTAAGTTCCCTCTTTCCTTCACACAGGACTCACAGACACAATGTAGATGGAAGCATGCCCTCCTTGTTGATTATCAGCTTGACAGTGGGCTGTGCACATCACTTAGGGACACCAGGCTTACAGCCTATGACTGTGCCAGAGCAACCAGTTTAGAACACTGATGCTATACAGGTCACTGTCAAGGAAACTGCATCCTTCTTTCATAATTAGACTTTTGCTCTGTGAATCATTCTCTGTATAACAGGAAAATGAGAGAAATGTGTTAATTCATCAGATGCTCCATTTCAGATGACATGGCCATACAAGCAAGGTTTTCATCTACAGGTTATTGTTTGGGAAACATGAACTAGACATATGACTTCCATGCAGAAGTCACCATGATAACCTCATAGAGTCACCATGGCCAAAACTCAGGGGGATGGTCAGGCTGAAAGGAGAAGGGCCATGCCTTTCTGTGGAGACGCCAGGCTGTCACAGCACTCACCACTGCTGGCCTTCCTTGCAGTGTGCAGGCTGCCCTCACAGGATGTAAACCGAAGGACTTGGCTCTCAGAGATGAGACTAAGCACAAGCCTGTTGACACAGATGTAGAAACTTGGGGATTCTGGGCACAGTCTTAAATAGTGTTCAAAACCCAAGAGAACTATGGTGTTGATGTGTCTTCTATTCCATGAGGAAGGCTCAGATCTTTTCTTTTTTAAATTATTTATTTTAAAAGAATTACATAGAAGCAGAATGAGATAGAGACAGACAGAGAGACTTCATTCCCGAGATGACTCTAGGCCAAGTAGCAGCCAGGAGCTTCATCTGGGTCTCCCACATAGGTGCCAGGAGCCCAGACACCTGGGCCATCTTCCACTGCTTTTCCCAAGACATTAGCATGAAGCTAGATCAGAGGTGGAGCAGCCAGGACAAGAACTTGCATCCAAAGGGGATGCCAGCATTGTATACAATGGTTTTACTAATATACCACAATGTTGGCTCCAAGACCCAGATTTAATTGTGCCTTATCAGCAACAAACTAATTTCAAATTCATAAAGCTTCCCTCAATGGCCCAGCAAAATGGTTTTGAATAAAGAACTTACAAGCCCGATTCAACTGAAATGTCAAGAGTTTTATAAATGACTTAGAGAAAGGGGAATTAGAAAATTTCAAAGGCAAGGCAAAAGATAAGCGTCAGTGGATTTACTAATAATGGTGTCACTGCCTGATAGCTCCCCATCAAATCCATTCAAGAGGAAACTCAATTTAGAATAAGATGAAATGAAATTTTACCATTCCTTTCAAACAACTTAAAAACGTAACCTGCTGTGGCCGCCGCCGTCTGGAGCTCAGAGAATCCTCCTGGGTCACCTCCACCACAACATGCTCTTCTCTTCCTGGACGACTTGGCCCACCAGCTGTCAGGGACCCTGCCAGATCTACCTGGAGTAGCGTGGAATCAAGACGGCTGCTGAGATTCACGGCTAAGAGCGAGTCAAGGTAAACCACGAAGCAAAGAATGGAATCAACACTCACCCACCCCTACCAGACAGCACATCAAGCAAAGCATATTTGGGGGTCTCTTCCAGATTACTTCTTATCTCTTCAGCCTCTCCTACACACGTAGTTGGTTTTGTATTATTTGATCCTATTTAGGATTCTCTACTTGAAGGTCCAGGTGGTGTCTTCCCAGCCCTGTTATCATGTCTGATCCTATTTCTTGAAACCATCACAACTTCCTACCCAACTGCCCAAATCCAGGAGGAGCAGTGGGTAGGATGCTCGCATGAATGAACTGATGAACTAATCTATATCCACACACAAATCCTAAGCTGTTGATCTTTGTTTAAAAGGTGAAAAGTCCCCAAAATAATTGAAAACATGAGCTCCAAAGTTGGCAAAGTCAGTGACATCCATTGTGGTGAATGGGTAGAAATTCCTTCAGGTATGTGAAAAGCTCTTGACCGGGAAAGATGTGCCATGAAAAGAAGTTATCGCCCTCACAATGTCCTCCCATTGTACTTACACCCCCAAGGCAGCCCCTGCTCCTTAACTCCTTTGTCCCCACATACACAGGTTGCACAAACGCAGGATATGCTCTAGGTCCTGCTCTCTGCTTTGCCTGACTGTTAGAGTCTCTGACCTCTGCTAACATGCCTTGGGTATGACAAGTGTCTAGCAATGACATCAGCCCTACACGGGTGGCCTATCCACTCATTTTGTTCCAGAAAAGTGTAATAGACAGGAAAAATAGATATCACAATTGCTCATGCTCTTCATGGGGTTTAGGATGATTATATAACCAATTGCTTTGTCCTTTCTTAAATCCCTAAAAGAAACAGATGGTTTATGGAGCTAACTTAGGAAGGAGGCAGCATCTCACCATTGCTAGTCTTCCTGTAGGATTTGCACTGTATGCTGTGAAAGGGTCAAACAGTGACAAACTCATTTCATTGCTTTGTTCGTCTCACAAAAATGTACAACAGCATTCTAGTACAGTGTGTTATCAGCCCTGTTGACCACTTAAAAACCCAGAATTGGCAGCCCACTCCAGAACTCAGGTGATTAGACCCATCCTGTGTGATACTCAGGGTCCAAACAACAACTGGACAACGAAAGGCACACATACCACAAAATGTACTAAGAAAAGGCCCAAAGAGACACCTGTGGACATTCCTGTCCTAGTCTTTCCCCAAAAGAGATTCAAGAGAAACGTGCTAAAAGATTGAACTTCAAAGACCTTACAGTCACTAAGGAGATGGAGCATCGCCACCTAGAGGCTACTATTAGAAGAGCAGCGAGCTTCTTCCTCTGGCATACAAGGGCTTCCAAAGCATATACTGTACAACCAGGGTGATATATTTAGAACAAGACCTTTGTCCTCAGAGGGAGAGACAACCAGGTAACAAAACGCCCAAGGACCAGCTATTCAGATGCAGTGCACAAAAAAACCCAAGGGACATAAGCCTGTGCACACATCCACTCTTGCTTTCTTCTCATTCTTCCAGATACTAAATTGCAGCTGACGGTTCAAAGCACGCCCTGATTTTCTAGTACCAGAAGTGACTTCCAGGTCCCAGTAAATAGGAGTTGGGGAGGGGGGGTCCCATGGGGGGGTCCCACCCTCTCTGCCATCCTTGATGCTTTCTGACCACATTAGACTGTTGCTGATTCCCTGGGTCATTTCAATGCCTCTCTCTAGAATGGCAGTATTGCCTCAAACGCCCTTCCCCATGTCTGGAGAGCCTACATTCCTTCTCTTGTGCCATCACACTCACAGTACCATATTCCCAAGTTTCTCCCTGTTGCCTGCATGTCTGCTCAAGCCGACCGTACTGCTCCCTCCCGCGTTCTGGTGAGGGTTGTGAACACCCTGACACAGTGTTTACTCACGTCATGCTGCACTTTGCTTTAGATTTTCCTCCTCCATTGGTCCAGCTCCTCAGAGAAAAGAACTATATCTTTTCCCCATAGCAGATGTCCCAAATCAGTGTCTGTTAGCCGGTACCTATTTGTTATAACCTCATCCTTGAAGTACTGTTAACGCGAGCCAGAGTGCTGGCCAGATCAGTGTACAGGGGAGTAGAAAGAAAACTACTTCCCACCCCTTGTCTACAGGGGAGTAGAAAGAAAACTACTTCCCACCCCTTGTCACAGAACCAGTCTTTCTTCCCCTCCCATTGGCCAAATCTGACCCACTGTTGGAGACTTAATTCTAGACCTCTTCCATGAGTCTTCCTTGCACTCTGAGTTCCTGGCGCATCACACCTTGGCCGTCCTGTATGATCACTTCCGCTGCTCCGATACTACTTCCCAGTCAGGAAGTCACCCAGCAGGTTCCTCGTGTCATGAAGAAAAACATGTGAGAGTGGAATAGAGAAGAACAGAGCGTGCCACTGCCAGGAACAGGACAAGTCCGAGAACCTGCAGAGCACTTCTATTCACATCCAACACTTACCCTTCAGAAACACCAGACTGGACTCGCTTCACTCCTACAAGTACGTCCCTCCTTGGCAAAAACTCAGATCCCTCAGAGACCTTGTCTGGACTACACTTTCATCTTGACCTTCTTGAAATTTCATCAATAAATCCTCTGATTCTTGATACTCATTCAAGTTCCCTTTTGTGTGTTAACCTGACTGAACTACAGGAAACCCGTAGATCTGGTGAAACATTATTACTAGGCAAGCCTATGAAGGCGTCTCCAGAACAGATTAGCATCTGAACATGGAAGCTCTTCCTTCCCCAGTGCAGCTGACCATTCTCCTTCCTATTCAAGGTACAAATAGAATAAAAGGAAGAATAAAGAATTTTCACTAACATATGTTTCTATCTATCTATGTATCTATCTATCTATCTCTCCTCCTCTCTCTCCCTTGACTACTGGTCTCCTGACCTAGACATTTCTAGTTCTCAGGACTTCAAATTCGCATAAAATCTATACTACTGACTCTGATACTTAAATTAACTGCTGATTTCTGCATCTCCACAATTATGTAAACCAATACCTTATAATAAATCTCTTTCTACATGTGGGGATACTTCAAAAAGTTCATGGAGGGGCTGGACCATGGCTCAACAGGCTAATTCTCCAACTTCAAGCACCAGCATCCCATATGGATGCCAGCTCGTGTCCTGGATGCTCAGCTTCCAATCCAGCTCCTTACTTATGGCCTGGGAAAACAGTGAGGATGGCTTAAGTCTTTGAGACCCTGTGCCCATGTAAAAGTGCCAGAAGAAGCACCTGTCTCCTGGCTTTGAATCCCCTCAGCACCGGCCACTGCAGCCATTTAGGGAGTAAACCAATGGATGGAGGATCTTTCTCTGTCTCTCCACCCTTATAAATCTGTCTTGCAAATAAAAATAAACAAATCTTTTTTAAAAAAAATTTATGGAACATAGGAATATAAAGGTAATCATAGCTACTGTAGAATACAATACATTTCTGGAATATTCTAAGAGGCTTTGGAGGACAATGAGGAAAAAGAGAAACCTACTACTACTGACAAGATCCAAAGCATGCTATCCCAAAACATGACACCTTGCCTAATGAATATTTTCATCTAAGGAATGGTAGACACAGGAAGGACAATGAGCCTCCCTCATTCCCCTGAAGTTTCCATAAGATCCTCATGTGAGCAAAGCATCCCTATACCTGGAAAAAGGGTGCATCAATAGCTGTGCAGACAAAGGGCACTGTGCATAGTACAGGACCCTGTCTATATCCTTTTGCATCATCACTTGGCTTTCTGACCCCACTCTTTCATCAACCCTGGTAAGAAATCACTCAGGTTTAATTTTTCCCTTAGGTCTTCACTTCCTTACAAAGTCTCCTGAGTCAGCCAAAACTTACACTAAATAAATTGCTGTATTTTCCTTTACTAATACGTCTTCTGTTACTCTAATTTTACAGGGCTCCAGCTAGATAACCCAGGCAGGCAGGAGGAAAGACTGTTTCCCCCCCCTACACAGACCGTAGTGTTTCCTTGATATTTTCTGGTAGCCCAGATTGCCATATTAGCTTTGATGAGAAATCAGTCACAATGGAAGGGAAAGGAAAGGGGAACAGGAAGAGGAGGGAAAGGAAGCACACCGAAAAGAATGGAAAAGGCAGATGTGGAGGAGAGGACAGGAGGAATGGAGGGAAGAAGAATGAAGGAGGGTAAAGAGGAAGAAAGGGTGAGTAAATAAGGGTTAGCTGGCCTCTGCTCATTTGCCTAATCAATTGGGAGCCTTTGACAGCTGCCCCACCACCACCACCAGACAAAAACTCAGGAACAAAGAACGTTAGGTACCTGCAATTACAGACTTCTAAAATTAACCCCACAATTAAGGAGCTAGCACAGCACAACTATTCCAAGGAGACACCGATGTTCACAAGGCAAAGGAAGCTTCGTTGTTACCCAGCTGGAGTGCTGCTGTTTGCAAAAGCATTGCCTGTCTCAACAGTCATCACCAGTGGCCATTGAGCAGACACCATGCAAGGGTCCAGCCTTCGGTCAAGTAGGCCCAGCACAGGGATCTTCGCTCAGATGATGTCCTGCAGACTGGCTGGTCTTTCACAGCCATCCCTGGATCTGCGTCTGCTCAGGTTTACAGTCAAGGACTGTTTCTGACAATCAGCTGCAAAGACCGGATCCACCTCTCCCTGCAGCACTTTGCCTCTGGGAGCATCCAGAAAAGTCCCCCACACCAGTTCCTACCTACTCCCTAAGCAGGCCCAAGGCTGGTAGCTTTTACAAACCTCCAGGGCAGGTTCTCAGCCCAGGACTTTGAGTAATCCATCAGGATACTGGGCATCCTTCTGAGGGTCATGTGAGAAATTAGAATCAGTACACAGTTGCACAACCTCCCTGCCTTTGTGCCTCTTTCCATCTCTCCTTCCAAACACGCAGGCATTCAGGGAGCTGGTCACCCTGGCTGCCAAAAAAGTGAGATCTCTCCATTGACTGTTGGGACATACTCAGGCCATCTGCTCCTGGGCTGGGCCTACAACACTCAGTCTGCTTGGGAAGGAACTTTGCCGAATGATGCAGACTAAAAGTGATCCAGTGAGGTTGATGGCGGGATGTGTGGAGGATTTCTGTAAGCTCCCAGGTGTTCCTATGTTACCAGGCCATGCTTCCCTGGGATTCCATCTAACAGACAAGATTGTGAGTGTTGCAGTTGCCCCAGGCTGCTCCACTCAGGGCTCTAAATATGTCATCAGCTTCCTCCATTCCCTCCGCAACTCAGCCAGGACTCATTGAAAACAGTTTTATAAAAGGACCTAACCTCTCCCCTCAGGTTCTTAGGCTGGACATAGCAACAGGTTATAACCACCTGCCGGAAAATCAGCTAAAGGGAGGTCAGCGTTCACGTCCTGGTTCCATGAGGAAGCCAATGCTTGGAGAAAACTTCAGAGTGGGATTGGGGAAAAGGAGGAGAACAAGTTTTAATTTTCCTAACCTGTAGAGAAGACACAGTGGCAGAGTCACAACTAAGAGAGGCCACACACATTAAAACCAAAGAGCTGTGCAGCTCTCTCACAGGGAGACAGCTCTTCAACCAAAGCTCAGGCACAATTTTAGGCTGGTGTGCAAACCTGAGCATGCGCTTGAGTGGATAAGACAGTTTTTGCCTTGTGGCTGACTCTGAGTAACTGAAACTACAAAAAATGAAAACCATGGATAATATAGGACTAGTATAAACAGATCATATCAGGATCCCCTCCCCATCACCCTTCACCTTCCCAGGACCTGCCCCATTTGCCTTTTCCAGAACACAGAACAGAGCTAGGAGCTCTGGGGGACCCAGGCCCAGGCATTTGAACCTACATGTGCATTCTCAGAAAGGCTCCACACCTCCAGTCTCAGCCAGGATAGACAGAAACCTGGGAAGGCATCCCTTTACCAGAAAAGTCTGGGCAAGAACAAATAAATTGACATCTCATTCCTTATAACAAAAGGAAGTGGCAGGGGAAAATAATGAGGTCAAGAGTGACACAAATGAAGAAATAGGGTCTGGTTCTGCCCCCCTGCTTCTACAGAAGCAGGAAAGATTAAATCAAGAAGTCTTGAAACTATCCAAAATCAATGAGAGGCCATTGAAAGTCGTGGTTGTGGAAGAGAGGGTTCACATCCTAGGAGCTCTTACTCCTGGGCACCTACCAGTTGGGGAGGCAGCTGCAGTCATTGATACACTTTATCGAAACCCACCTCCTCCAACATCTCCAAAAAGAAAGAAAAAAACTTTCACTTGGCTGAGAAGCACAGTAGATTCAGTAGCCTGAAGGTACAGTGAAAATCCTGCAACTGAGGGGAAGCAAGAGGGAAAAAAGTAGCTCTATCCCAGCGTGAGGGGTTAGAACAGAGCAAAGCCTAGCAGACAGCTGGCAGGAGGCCCAGCCATTCCAAGTATCTGGTGTACCAGAGGTTACCATGGAAACCACAAGCTTCAAGACAGCCAGGTTCAAACAAGATTTACATAAACCCCCAACTACTGCCTGCAGAAGTTAAGGTATGCTCATCTATTAGCTTAAAAACCACTGACCTCAATATCTTCTATACTATACAGCTTCTGATTTGAATTTTAAAAAATCAAGGCATACAAATAAGCAAGAGAAACAAAACAAAGACAGAAAGCAATCATCAATAGGAGAAAAACAATGACTATGAGGCAAAGACAACAGAAATCACCCAAGACAAGATTCAAAATGACAGTGGTGGGGAGAATGACACTCTGGAGTATGGAGTATCCTAACTAGGATGGGCAACTCGGCATGCTACCTTCCGTGGCATTTTAATACCAACCACCCAACTGCACTATCTCCCCAGAACTCCCCTCTCCTTCTGTTTCATTGCCCTGCATCTATTCAAACATGCTGGAGACACACAATATGCACAACAGGAAAGGGAATGGCCTATGCTTCATCCTTCTGCTGAGCTGTAATACTTCTTGACTGTCTCTTTGACTTGCAAATCTCGATCAGGAGCGACTGACCATCTCCATCTGTATTTTGGATACAGTAGCTTTCCAGTGGTGACACAGCCAACAACTGCCAGAACTTCCCTTGATCTGGATACAGGCTGAATAAAATCTATAACAAACAGAAACATTTAATGATATATTGGCAATATGAGAACAATGGGACTTAAATAATTTTGATTACAGTTAAAAATAGAGCTGTGATGTATGATTTATTTACCTCAAATTCCTCATCTTACTGTGAATTGTTTTTATTAAATATTCTGATGCTACATTTAGCTATAACATGTCTTGATTATTGATATGTATGAATTTTAAAGATTAAATACTTGAAGTTACATTATCAAAGGTACATCAGTGTGATTTTCCATACTGAAGAGTAGAAGAAACCAACCTCAATGATGGTTGTAGCACCTGCTTGTAAAATTTGCAAAGAACTTCATATACCATCAGAAAGCCAATTCAGTTGAGAGAAACAGACACAGCAGTCACACAAAACCCTGTGCAGATATACATGTGTTCAGCCCCATTTCCTGAGACTAAAGACAGGCTTCCCAAACAGCCTTCTGCAGCCTTCCACCTTCACACACCCTCAGCATCTTCCAAGAAAGGAAGCCTCAAGTGAAGAGGCTCAAACACATCTCTACTTAGATGCTCATGTCATCCAGCTCAATGTACCTAGGGGGCTGCGCCCACCCAGAGAAGTCCACAGGACTTTCACTGACTTAGAAGTAGGACCGGGGACAACCCCAATACTCACAGAGCACAACACCACAAAGACAAACAGGCCTGTGATTTTCAGCCACCTCATACAGCACCTGCAAGAGAAAAGGCAGTCCCTAAGTGGTACAGGGCAATGGTCCTGTTTGCACATGCCTAGTCTTGTCAACCCTAGACAACTTTATAAAGCCTTGAGCATGTGTTTAAAATTCTGTCCATAACTTGCTATGAAGGGGGACACTGGTCACTAATAAAACTACTGCCTTATCTAAAGGATCTTGTGGACTTACAGCGGTAAACAAAGTTAACCCTCATGCCTACACATGCATTCTTGGCAGGAAAGGCAATGTTCAACATTTGGGACTCTTCACAGACCCTTGAAAGTGCTCTAGATTCCTTGAAACAAGTAAATTGAATGCCTTTTCTCTACTTTCCAATGCATATTCATTTTTTCCCATAAGTTTTCTAGAAGGTAGGAATGTTGACAACACCAAATAATAAATATAATAACCTAAAAAAGAAAATTCAACAGTATGATTAGCTGTACTAGCACTTTGTCTTTTAAGAATTCCATGGGAAATAGCTCAAACACTGAGTCCCCACTGACGACTTCTGAAGTCACCCTTCTCAACGGCCCCCAAAATCTGTTTGAACCTGGCCCCTGGCCTGCCTGCTGGGGTCTCTTCCACCACTCCCACCTCTCTGACTCTTAGACCCATGAGTCAGAGAAGATATCCATGGGGCCTTAGACCCACTGCAGCCCTTCCATCTCCTCTCTCTCAGAAGCCAGAGTCCACTGAGCTCAGGCCCCCATAGGACAGCAGGCTGCTCTGAGAAGGAAGGGGCTGGGAGGAGAGGAGTTCCTCTGTCCCCCTGGGACATTTGTAGACTAATAAAAGAAGGTCTATGCTGGGACATGTTAAGTTCTGTTCAACACTGTTCACAGAACTTAGTTAAGTTCTAGCCATCTCTGAAAACCTTTTTTTCCTGTTCCTTTTTCAAGCAGTAAAATCTTATTTGTAATCCGCTAGATTTAATGAATTTGATGAATAATCATTTCATGCTTCCAAATTATGATTCAACAGTACCTACTTAAATAAGAATCAAAATGACATTTCTTTTTAGAGCATGAAGCATTAATTGAGCTGCTCCAAATACAGATTTCTTTCTATATTACTGCCCTACACAGCAGAAATGACAATTCAAATTAAACTATTTCTTACTAGCTCCTTCACTGACCATGCATAGTGTTTTCTAAATGCAAGGAGTGGTGCTAGAGTCCTATAGTTCAGTGCATGGTCAAGACAGACATTTCATGAATCACAGAAGGCACATCACTAGGTATACAATTTCCAATGTACTTGGTTCCATTTTCCCATGTGGCAAGATAACTGGTGACATGGCATCCTCTGAGACCGTTAACCACCCAGTAGAGAAAGATATGAACAGGGTCAGAATTAACCATCTTGATGACCTATGAGACCAGATTCCCAGTTAGATGTTTTCATATAATTACATTCAGGTTCATCAGCCCAATATTTACTGCACCTGTGAGAAGGACAGAGACCAGTCAGATGGTGGGAAGAGGCATCTCCATGGTCAAGCAGCTGAGGGGGAAACCAGGGCCAAAATGCTGTCCCTTGGCTTAGCTCAAACACAGTGTGACCTTGCGCAAAATCTTCACCCCTCTCTAAATCCCAGGGTTGTTGGCAGAGGTGATACTTGGCAGGGCTTTGAAAGTCTCTGAGCACAGATAGGTGTATTCAGTCTGCCTTACTATGTGTTTTTAGTTCACACTGTCCCTCTAACATGCTGATACAATGACACTAATTCCTGGTAGGTGCATAGTGCTTTTTTACCTATTTTTGGGCTTTCACACATATCATGTTAGTCTAAGCCTGTGGAAGGCCATGGAGCAGGGAGGAATCAGGCAACTGGAGACAGGCACATACTCAGGCCTGACCTTACCACAGGCCTTCTATTACTCCAGGAAAGATCCAGAATGGAGTCCCACTCTGTCCTCTCTCCAGAGCTTTGTCCTCTCCTTGGAGACACTGCTATCAGTTGCTCCAAAAGAACCACTGCTCTAAATAAATGTGTGTGTGGAAGAGTGCTCAGGCCCACTCATAAATCAGCAAAGGACCCTGGGTCCCTACACACAGGTGTTCCTTTCATTTTCTGCTAATACAAACATGCCCTTGGTCTCATGCATAGTCAACCTTAAACTCCAGGGTTCCATGCACAAGAAAGCAAGGCATCCCTCGGGTTGTGCCATGTACTAAATCGAAACCTTCCTTAATATCTACAAAGATGATACCAAATTCTAAAACGCCACAGAGATTCCTGAAGTAGTCTGACTCTGAAAACCGAATGACCATGAAGATCCCAACCACACACTCAGAAAAATGAGGGCAGGTATGGGTAAGTTAGCTGTAGGATTCAGCTTGCTCACAGCCCTATAGACTCCATACCAATTTGTAGAACTACCTTAAAGGTCTTCCAAGCCTTGGGAAAAGGTAGATAACCTTGAAAGAAATGTGCAACCCAGCCTCATGTGAACAACCTTCACCCTCAGCTTCTCTCTGTCAGTTTAAGCACTGGTAGGACCAATCCCAGGACAAGTGGCACTGCTGGCGCTAGCATGCCTGGTCCTCCTACCTGAGCCTCGAGATGTGGGATCTCAGTGGCGCATTATACAGAAGCTCCTCCTTCTCTGAGGATGCAGATGTAGACAGCCCCACCACCTCTCTGCCCAGCAGGTACCGACGGTCCCACTCGGCCGAGCTGTTGTCCCAGGAATCGGCAGTGGTGACGAACTCTGGGTGATAAAGCGGCATGCACAGTGACCTGGAAAGCAAAAACTTTGAGCTTATTTGTCCTGAAGCAGCTTCTCCAAAACAACACTTGTCCGTGGTGACAGTGAAGTCTCACGGAGTTAGTACAGTCTTTAAAAGGACCTCGGTGCAATGCTCTCTAGCACTGGTGGCGATGGAGCTGGGGACTAAGAACTCTCCTAAGACTGCTCACGTTTTCAAAGTCCACCGTGAGAAACATCAGTCTTTTCCGAGATTGGGACTTTCTGAAGAAGCTGCTTCAGGCTCAGCCAAGATCCTCACTCATCACAGTACTTGCTTTCTCCTTAAACATGCTAGCGCTGTCAGGACCCGGAGCTGTGATGCTGGGCCTGAAGCAGAGTAGTGCAAGGTTTTCCTTAGGTGCATACATATCTTTCTGTAATGGAACTTTAAGGAAGTTTTTCTGGCTTTCTCACACAACATCCAGGGGGACACAAGCAGGAATGGAGAGCATTGGTGCCTCAAAAATAGGTCCCAAGTTTAGAAGAACAAATCAATGAATCAAAATTTCATCAAAATTACAGCTAGACATTTTTCTGTCTATTTTTTTGATCCCCTGAGCTTCACAGCAATCTCTTCAGGAGAGAGGCACTTGACTCTATAAAGGTGGTACCAAAACTGGAATGCTTACATTTTGCATGAGATACTCATGGAATCACGATATGGGCACTGATAATAGCTGTGATCTAGCGGTATTATCCATAAGAAACAAGTGTTGCCTCTTGAACCCACCGAACTCAACATATCATGAGTCTCCTGAAGATGTGTCACTACTTTAGAATGGCTCACAACAATGTAAAAATTCTAATCTACTCAGAAGGAGAAGCCCAGAGTCACAAATCGAGTTTCCAATGAATTTCAAGTTTTAAACTGTCTCAGACCTTAACAATTAGCCAAGTAACTCGATGGAAAACATTAAGGAGATAGATGTGCTAAGCGCTTGTTTTCAGTTACCCACTAGGAGATACTGCCAAAATCCAGTATCTCCACATACAGAAGTTTTAAGCAATGGGTTCCCAGGAATGCTTCAGAGAACACCCATCACCCATCACTGAGCTTGCAGTGTACAGGAGCCAGGAGATATTGAGAGGGTGGCCTGGACTTCAGGAAGCTTGTTTGCAGAAACTAACAAAAGTGAGGCTGAAAGTCTGAGCCAAATGCTTAATCCCAAAAGGAGTGTCTGCAAATCAACCTCAAGTCTACCTTGCTCAGGCAATTCCAGAATCACAAAGATTTTTCCACAAAAAAAAAAAGAAAGAAAACTTTCAACCTTACAGGAAATAGAATTATCTCATGACTCATACATACAAAGTTTCTCAACTTGGTCAGTACTGGCATTGATGCTGGCTAATGCTGTACCATGGAGACAGTCCTGTACTGTGTAGAATGCACAGCAGCATCAGCACCCTCTACTTTTTTTATGACAGTAACACCCTCCCCAGTATAACTACAAATGTCTTCAAACATTTATCACCTCTAGACGAGACAGCCCATTCTGATGAGACATCTGACAGAGCTATGTGCACTTATGTATGTACAAGTATGCTATGTGATCAATGCAGGATTCCACTCAAGGCCATATGGAAGTTCAAAAGCTACACAATATAACCATGAATCATGAATCATCTACTACCATGAATCATCAATGACTTGGCAGAAATCAATAAGTCAGAATAAAATGTATATCTCGGGAAGTGATTCTATAGCATAAATGCCAACGGAAATGCTCAAACATGTCTTAATTTTACAAGAAGAGGAAAAGTCTCACCCTTTCTCTGGTGCAGAATTCCTCAGCAAAGGAGTGTTTTCTGTAGAACAATGGTCTTTTGATCTGGCATTGAAGAGCTGGGGCATGGGAGTATGAGACCTGAAAAAAAGATAGGCAGGGAAATGAGTTCACCAACCCAAAAGTGATATGTCCCAGTGATGGAAAACTAGATACAAGAAGGTACACCAGCAAATCCAGCACACATGCTTCACGTGCATTTTGTAAAGAGCTGGAGTTTCGTGTGAGATACCTAAATTAGCTCTGCTCCCAGATTGAACCAAAGTGAAGTTCAACCAGCGTGAAAACACCATGCAGAATCCCACGTAGGAGACCAACAGGACCCGTATTTTAAGGCTCACTGTAGTAACAAAAGTAGATTCCAGCCACCTTAACTATCCCAGGCAGAGCTGCCCACGGAAGAAGTTCTCAGAGTCTCATGGTAACTTTCATGAAGAAACTACAAAACGTTTGTTGAAAGACGGAATTCAGGATAAGTTGATTTTGGTGCAAAAACTTTGAAACCCATGCATAGTTTTTTCATATTATATGTTTCACCTTAATTGTTTTTGAAAACCCTTCATATCACCCAAATCAGGAGCTTTCAAGAAGGAAACACTTGCACAGGCACACAAAGGCCACCATATATTTATGACTACCCTCATTAAAGTATACATACTGTTGAAAAACAGTTTTTCAAGAGAAATTACAAATTGCACAAGCAGAAACAATTTTTATTCCTACTTATTGGAAATAGATCATTTTATTTGCTGGGATATAGCACAGCTCAGGCCACACTGAAATATTTCAGATGTCAACGTAGATTAGAAAAACATAACAAAGAAGAAAGTTTATGGGAAAACACTTCTGCCCACTTTCCCTGTGTCATGCAAGCATTCATTAGTAACATCAACTTACTATTGACTGTGGCCTCTGGAGGAGTAAGACTAGGGTCTCATCTCCTCTAACCGCCACATGATTCAAGAAAATCAGAAGAGGGGTTTGGGACCAGTAGTCGTCTCCTGGATGCCTTCTCTAGGCAGCTCTATGTCAATCTCTACAGAGAACACAGATGACCAAGGGCTTTGTTCCTGGGGGCTTCAACAGGTAGGAGAGCGCAACATGGTGAGTAAGGAGCAGAGGTGCAAAGTGGACACCTTGACTTGAACAGATGAAGAAGGGGGTTGGGAAAACAAATTGTGACTTGGGGGGGGGGAGTGGTTAATAATGGGTATGCTGTTAGCTGCTCAAACTGGCCTAAATAATTGAATATTTTGTGCTTCATTCTCTTATTGTAAATCCAGAACAATATCTGGTACATTGATAAAGGTCTCAATGAGTAAATAAATATCCAGGCATTCTCTGCTGCTCCTTGGGGGAAGTTCATAGTGTAGTATTACCACTCTGAGCTTCAGTTTTCTAAGCTAAATAATATAGATTAAAAGAAAGTCATACGCCATGAAAAGAAAGGGAAACAAAGAAATGACACCTCAGTTTCATCATATTAAATAAGTGGAAAACATGTAGCCTGAATATTGACTCAATTATTTGCATAAGACTGTGTGCTTTTTATGCATGGGTCCCTGTTGCTTTTGCCTTGTGTTATTTGGTACTATACATGACACCCAGTTCAATGTAGGGATCCAGATGGGAAGCAGGGCTGCCGGGATTAGAACCAGCACCCGTATGGGATTCTGGCGTGTTCAAGGTGAAGACTTTAGCCACCAGGCCACCACTCCGGGCCTCAATGTAGGTTCTTAAGAAATACTTAATGAACAGCTTACACCCTAGCAGTCATGACTTATTTGCATGTCATTGTCCCTTTGATTCAACAGTTTATAAATTATTATAATGTTCTACAATAAATGGACCCTTTGAATAGTGAATCATGCTCAGGGGAGAAAAGGCACTTGGGCAACAGCATCTCAGAACAGCTCCCGGAGGCATCACAGCACCCAGTGTAGAGTGTTCATATTTTACCACTAAGGAGCAAGATCAGACACAGGAGCTGGGGCTATAGAGGTAATGGTGATGATCTAACACAAGAGCCCAGACCTGCAACTTATTGCAAGGAGTGGCACAAATGACTGCAAAGAACCAATACCAATTGCAATAAGTAAAATCGAACTGTAGACGTGGGGGGGACACAACTAGAATCCTGCCCTAAGGAGAACAATTTGCTAACCAGAAGAACGATGACCAGCAGCAAGAGACAGAGACACAATGAATAATCTGAAGACTCCCCTGCCAACCTCAGAGTTAACTGAGAAAGTCATTGAGAAAATGGGGGATACAGAGTTCAGAAAAACTTGTCATTAAGCTTCTTATCAACAATGAGAAGCACATAGAGGAGTTCAAGGAATTTAAGGAGCATGTCACACAGGAAAGAGCAACACTGAAACAAAATCAAGCCGAATTATTGGAAATGAAGGACGTGATAGAGCAAATTAAAACTTCACTGGAAAGTCTCAATAACAGAACAAAGAAGGCAGAAGTTTCAGAATTGAAAGATATTTCTTGTCACCATGGGGAAACAATAAAAAAGTTGGAAGCAAAGCTAGGTCAAACAAAAAAAAAAGTATTCAAGAATTAAGAGACCTATTAAAAGTCCAAATATAAGAGTTATGGGGGCCCGGCGCGGTGGCATAGTGGTTAAAGGTCCTCGCCTTGCACGCCCGGGATCCCATATGGGCGCCGGTTCTAATCCCGGCAGCCCCGCTTCCCTTCCAGCTCCCTGCCCTTGGCCCGGGAAAGCAGTCGAGGACAGCCCAAAGCTTTGGGAACCTGCACCCGCGTGGGAGACCCGGAAGAGGCTCCTGGCTTCGGATCAGCATAGTATCGGCCCGTTGCGCTCACTTGGGGAGTGAATCATCGGACGGAAGATCTTCCTCTCTGTCTCTCCTCTCTGTATATCCGCCTTTCCAATGAAAAAATAATAAAAATAAATCTTAGAAAAAAAAAAGAGTTATGGGAGTTCCAGAAAGTGCAGAAACAGAAGCTGGGATTGAAACTGAAATAATAAAGGAAAACTTACTCAATCTGGAGAAAGAATTGGAAAACAACATCCAGGAGGGGCACAAAACTCCCAATGGGGATGACCAAAAGCGATCTTCACCACAACACAAAGTAATCAAGTTCTCTTTAGTCAAACATAAGGGAAAGATCCTTAAATGTGGACGTGAAAAAAATCAATTGACATATAAAGGATACCAGTTAAATTCACATGAGACCTTTCACAGGAAACACTACAGACCAGAACAGAATGGAGCGACATATTCCAGATTCCAAAAGTAAAAACTTGTCAGCCCAGGATAACATGCCCAGCAAAGCTTTCCTTTATCTTTGAAAATGAATTAAAATTCTTCCACACTAAAGGAAAGTTTTTTAAAAAATGCCTCATCCAAACCTGCCCTACAAAAGATACTCCAAGATGTTCTCTGGACAGAGAAGAGGAATAGCAGCCACCAAAACCAAAGACAAATGCGAAGAACATCCCAGTAAAATGACAACACAAGACTAAATCAATGAACAACCATTGCTAAAATGGCAGGACCAAATTATCACCTATTTGTATTAACTGAATGTAAATGGATTAAACACATCAATCAAACATTGTAGATTAAAAAAAAAAAAAAAACCCATCTATTTGTTGCATACAGGAGACATATCTCACCAACAAAAATCAGCAGAGACTCTATCTCATGGGTTCTGATTTATTTTATTTTAGTTTAGTTTCATCTCTTCAAAACACTTTCTTATTATTAAATTCTTCACTTACTCAGGTCATACAGTAACATAATTTTCTTCAAGAAGGTTCTTGATTTTCTTTTTCATTTCTTCAGCGACACATTATTCATTCAGCAGTATGTTATTTAACTTCATAGGGTTTTAATTTCTTCTTTTCTTCCTGTTGTTGATTTTGTTTTGTGGTTTTTCATTTAAGGGGATGTATAGTACCTGTGCAATAGAGATTATCATATCCAGTAACATGTTGTTTAACTTCATGGTGTTGTTAATTTCCATTTTTCTTCCTGTTGTTGATTTTGTAGTGTGGCTTTTCATTTAAGAGGATGTATAGTAACTGTGTAATGGAGACTTTCATATCCAGATGTGAGGATACAATGTAGCATGCATCTCTACTTCCAGATCAAAGATGGACTCCCAATGAAACTGTTAAATAGACCTTGACAATAGGATGCTGGACTCTGCCATTGTCCGTGGTAGCAATAACGGATATACGACTTTTTATAGTAATAATATAGGGCAACTCAGTGGAAGGGGAGAGGGTTTAGGGAGAAGGAAAGGGAAATTCCAGGGCCTACGGAACTATATCATAAAATGATAATAATTTTAAAAGTAGCTACAATCGACTATTCTTTTAAGATTTTATTTATTTTTATTGGAAAGGCGGATATACAGAGAGGAGAGACAGCGAGGAAGATCTTCCATCCGATGATTCAATCCCCAAGCAGCCGCAACGGCTGGAGCTGATCCAATCCGAAACCAGGAGCCTCCTCCTGGTCTCCCACTCAGGTGCAGTGTCCCAAAAGTCTTGGGCCATCCTCGACTGCATTCCCAGGCCAAAAGCAGGGAGCTGGATGGGAAGGAGGGCCACCGGAATTAGAACCAGTGCCCTTATGGGATCCTGGGACATTCAAGGCAAGGACCTTAACCACTATGCTATCGTGCCGGGCCCACAATCAGCTATTCTTGACCAATGAGATAAAAGTCAGTCTCTGGAGAAAGCACAGTCTTCAACAGTGTTGCAAAAATTGGATCTCCAAAACCAAGTCACAGTGAGTCAGGCATCTAAATCTAAGACCTGGAACCATTGAATACTAGAGGAAAACATGGGGGAAGTCTGCATGACATCAGCTCCACACAGGCAAGCAATAAGACAGCTTAAAATCCACAGACATTTGCCTTATCTAAACTGTTTTCCAACAACTGATAAAGAAGTGTCCACTTGGATGCTACTTTTACCCCCAGTGATGGGACTGTGATCCAAGACCTTTCTGGAGGAAATTCAAGTCTGGCAGGAGCCTCCGAACGAGACTGGAAGCTGGGCCTCCTGGGCTTAGACCCCATCTCAGCTGTCTCAG